TTTAAAAATGGATCTAATAATTGAGATGGAAAGTGGAGAGAAAATGGAGAGAGAGAAAAATGGGGAGAAGCAAGGTCCAAGAATATTGCCCCTATTTGACTGTGTGATGTGTTGGTCCATTTTAATGATATCTGGGCTGATAAAGCATTAGAATATAATATTTGACAAGACTTAGAGGCCATTCTTGATTTCTTTTTAAGGTAATTCAGTGAAAGTTTTGCTTTATTAGTGTGTTGCTACTTTGAAAATTTGATGCTATTAGGCTAATCTAAAATTTTGTTATGCATGTTATTTTAAAAACCAATCATTGTAGTTAAGGGTGAGCAAAACTGAATTGAAATTGATAACTAAACCAAATCAAATTGAGTTTGATTTGTTTGGTTCGGTTTATTTGATTTAAATGGTCAGTTTGATTTATTTTTTAAAAAAAATTTGGTTTAAATAGTTCGATTTAGTTTGAGGATTGTAAAACCAAATAGACTGAATTAACCAAAATTACTTATATATAATTATAAATATCATAATTGATTTATATCATTAAGGATTATTTTTATTTTTATTAATATATTTTTAGAAATACTAATATCATATTTGATAAATGAAAATGTGGTGGGAGTAAGAGGGAGATGTCAAATAACATATTAGAACTTAGAAGCCTACTAGCTGCTAGCCAAGCCCAATACCATTAACTTAGGTTTAGTAAAAAAACCCTCACTAGTTTCCTCATCACTCACTCTCTCTGTCTCTCAAACTTGATTGCCCTGTGTCTTTGTTACAATCTCAACTCTCACAATCACAAACTCACAGCCACAGCGTCAAAACTTAAACCCTTATTTCACTTTACTTTGCTAATTTGCTCTCCTCTTTCACTTTTTCGGCAGTCGGCGGCACTCTTCTCCTTCAGAGCTCAGTCTCTATGGCACGAACCATAACCTAGCCGCTCCTTTCCTGTCTGTTCACCATTGTCTACTATTCACTCTCTCATCTCTCTTCTCATTTAGTTTCCACTATTTCACGAAGGCACAAACTATAGCTCAAGCTTAACTCAAGCTTCATCTTCCTTCTCAGATTAGGCTCCATCTCCCTCTTCTGTTCGTTCTCTATCTCCCTTCATTTGCTTAGCCCAGGCTTAGTCTTCCTTCTCAAATCAAGCAACTTGCAAGGTATGTCTTCAACTCTCTATTTTCAACTTGCAACTCTCTTTGTCTCGGGCTTTCTTCTTCCTTCTTTATTGTGTTTGTTCTTTTGAACTCTTGGGAAGTGCATGTCAGGCTCTCTTTTATATTTCCTTTTGATTATAAATCCCTTTATCTTAAAAACTAATAATTTTAAGGTAAATATAATTCTAATTTCTGCTTGTGCATTTAAACTTCAAAGACTTCTCCTTCTTTATTTTCTTCTTGTTCTCGCTTTTAATTTATTATTTTCTAATTTAATGGTTTAGATGTCTACTCATGGTAAAGCTAAAAGACAAATGGCTACTCTAAATAGTCAAACTCTAACACTAGCTTCAACATCTAATATTGAAGTGAGTTCAAGAAAAAGGAAGGCCATACAGCCAAGGTCTGAAGTTTGGGATCATTTCCACAAATATGTTAATGAGCATGGAGAGACTAAAGGTAAGTGCAATTATTGTGAAAGGGAGTTTTTTTGTTGTGATCTAAAGAAGAATAGGACTACTGCACTTAAGAATCATATGGGTGTATGTAAGAAACAGCCTCTTCTTGAGGAAGCTATACAAACCCACTTAAATTTTAGTGTAGATGATAATGCTTCCATTCTTGCTAACTAGAAATTTGATCAAGAAGGAATTAAAAAATCTTTGGCAAATATTGTTATTATTGATAAACTGCCTTTTAAATTTATTGATGGGTTTGGGTTTAAATGCTTTATGGCTATTGCTCAACCAAAGTTTAAGGTTCCTTCTAGATGGACAATAGCTCGTGACTATTTTAAAATTAACATGGATGAAAAACTTAGATTCAAAGACTACTTGATTAGAAACAAATAAAGGGTTTGTCTAACAACTGACACTTGGACTTCTATTCAAAGAATCAATTACATGTGTATTACTGCCTATTTGATTGATGTTGATTGGAATTTGATTAAAAGAATTTTGAATTTTGTTCCAATATCTAGTCACAAGAGGAGGGATATTGGAATAGAAATTGAGAAATGTTTGCTTGAATGGGGAATTGATAGGGTGTTACAATTACAATAGACAATGCTACTTCTAATGAAATTGCTCTCTTATACTTGAAAGAAAAAATTTCTAATTGGGGCTTTTTTATTATGAAGTGTCAGTTTCTACATATAAGGTGTGTTGCTCACATTGTAAATCTAATTGTTGTTTATGGGTTGAGATTAACAGGAAGTTCTATGAAGAGAGTTAGAGAGGCTATTTAGTTTGTTAGGCAATTTGCCCTTAAAATGAAAAAGTTTAAAGAGAGTTGTGAGGATGAGAAGATTCAAAGTAAGAACCTCTTAACTCTAAATGTCTCTACTAGGTGGAACTCTACTTATTTAATGTTAGAGACTGTTAAAAAATTTGAGGCAGCTTTTAAGAGGTTTGAGGACAAAGACCCTTAGTTTCGAATTGACCTTGAACAAAGGGAGGGGGTTCCTGATGCTTTTGATTGGAGGAATCTTAGAGGGATGGTGATGTTTTTGAGTCATTTTTATGAGATGACCTTGCGTGTTTCTAGTGCTTTTTATGTTACATCCAATAGCTTGTTTTATGAGATTCACATGCCATATTGCCTTTTGGATGAGTAGGCAAAGAATGATGATTTTGAGCTATCATCAATGGCATTTAAAATGAAAGAAAAGTATGACAAGTATTAGGGAGATCCTTTAAGGATGAACCAACTCATTTATGTTGCTACTATTCTAGATCCTCGATATAAGTTGGAATGGGTTGAATTTGCTCTTTGTAAAATCTTTGATGGTGAAGTTGGCAAAAATTTGGCAAAGCAAGTAAAGGATATTTTCATTGCTTTATTCCATGAGTATAAAGAGCATGTCTCTCCCTCAAAGCAATCTAAAAAAGAGCAGCTTGTAGATGAAATCCAAGTTGATTTTGATGATGAAGATAACCCTGCTATGAAGGTTAGAAAGTTGCTTGAATCAAAAAAGAAAAAGTTTTTAAGTGACTGCCTTGGTGGGAAATCTAATAGAACTGCAGTTGATAAATATTTGAATGAAGAAATTGAAATGGATAAAGCTAACTTTGATTTTTTAGGCTGGTGGAAGTTGAATAGTCCTAGATATCCTATTATTTCAAGGATGACAAGAGATGTTTTGACAATACCAATAACTCCTAAAGTTGAATAAGCCCTTATTTGTGCTGAAGATTGGCTTCGTCACTCCATTCTTATGGTTGTAGAAGTGAAATTGGATGATATTCAAAGGATTGAGAGAGGTAAAATTTCTATAATATTATGTTATTTATGTGCTGTATTACCTTTAAAATTCTTTTATTTATGATTTAATTTAACTCATAAATTGATTTACTTGTCGATTTTCATAGAATTGGATTGGAATGAGCCATGGATATTGTGTGAATTCTTCAAGGTAACTTTTCATTATTGCTATGGCAATTGGTTCATTCAGTTGTGATTTTTGTTTTGTTGTTGGTTTTTGTAGTTTTGTAACTTCTACTTTTTACTATTAGACTATTAGATTGTGGCAATTGATTCATTTAGTATAGCTCTTCTTACTGTTTGTTTAGTGGTTAATTCTGTAACAGCTTGCACATTTTCTTAGTGGCTACCAAGTAAGCTTTGTTCTATAAAGATAATATTTTGGCCAAATGTTTAATTTAACTATTTTTTTATAATGTAGGCTCAAGCAAAGACTATCATTGGTAGCCGAAAACTTACAAGTTGTAATGGATTGACTATCTTCTATTATTTTGCTTAATATTTTGTAATAATGTATTGGATTAGTTATTTTAGATTATGTTAAAACTCTTGGATTTATTTGTAGTTTTTTAAGGGATTATTATTGTTATGTGATGGATTATTATGAATTTATAGTAGGTGAATTATAAATTTATAAATTATATGTGAAATTTATCAATTATTTGCTTTCTTTGGTACAAAAAAAAAATATAATACAGGTGCTAAGTTATTATATCTGATTTCTTTTATTTTGGAATGCTTTTTCATGTTGTTTGGTTTCTAGTTTGGTAGTGTCAGTGTTCACGCCATTAGATGATCTAATTTCTTTATTTAATGCAGCTCTTCATGTGACATGTTCTATTTAGATCGGTCCAATCTAGAATCTAGATTGTTTTTTCTCCCATTTTAGTTGGGGGATTTATTTCTTAATCAGTATTATATTTTTTTTTGGATGGGCCCAATTTGTTGACAAAAAGGCTCAATGTGTTGACAAAAAGTAAGCCCAATGTGTTTATAAAAAAGCTCAATAATTAAAATAAATAATCAAACTGAACTATTAAATTTCAGTTCGATTCTTTTAAAATTTTAATTTAGTTCGGTTAAGAAAACTTTTGCACTTCAGTTTGTGAGTTTCAATAATTTTGAAAAGAACCGAATCTTTCAAACTGATGCTCTCCCCTAATTGTAGTCACTTATGTGCTTTCAGTGACATTGTTGCTGCTACTTTGCTTTTTCTAGATGGGTCTTCCTTGTCCCAAACGAGTATGATCTCTTGTACATTGATGAGGGGATCAATGATTGATGACATGGAGATATATTAGATTTGAGTCAGTTGGGGGAGATAAATTAAAATTTTAAAAAGCCACGACACAAACCAAGATACAAATTATTTACTGATACTTGCTTAGAATCAAACATACATACATACATACATATGAGACTTTATTTGAGAGTTTATTTACACTATTTATTAATACTGTTAGAGTTAAAAAATTAAAAAAATATTTTATAAAATTAAAAGTTTAAAATAAATTATTTTATAAAATTAAAAGTTTAAAAATATACTTGTGGGATATAAACATTTACTAATAGGCCAATCAAGAAGCCATCGCAACAGATAGCAGTCGCACAAAGAGTGGCTGACATTGAGAGTGGAGACTGGAGAGTGAAGACAGCGTCGAATCGATCAATCGAAGCTTGAGTGAAGCAAGGAAAGCACAAAGAAGAGTTTCAGACGGCGTCGAAGAAGGGTTTTTGAAATCAAAACATGATTTCAGGCATTATAACTTTGTTCTTTCTCTGGGTAGAGCGATATGTAGTTGTTTTTCATAGTCGCTGACGAAGCGCTGTATCTCTCTTTCTGTTGAGGCTTCAACACCTCCGAGTGCTACAACGGCTCGAAGGTATACTGTTGCCTATTATTATTAGTTTTTTCTCATATCAATTTCCTCAATCTAGAAATTTTAGTTATGTTTCTGGTTTGATTACGGAATTAGGCCATGAATTGGTGGAATCAACAAAATGGCAGCGAAAGGTGGCGATGGCGAGGCAGATCGAGGTGAAACGTTGCGTCGCTTGTCAAGATGCCACTGCTCGTATCAGAGTAATTTTCGTTTATCGGTCACAACAACCACAGTTGATATACTATTTCTCAAATTTCTGCCGATCTCTGTTTAAGAATTAGACTCTGTTTTAGAATTAGACGTGTTAATTAAATGGATTTGAGAAAGTATGGTAGCAAATATAAGATATACACTAAGGACTTGGGGGGTGTTAGATAGGTGTTGATTTAACTCCAATAGTACTAGTGGATGCGTACATGTACCAGAGCTCCTAGTGTTCTAACATCATACCATAGAATCCTTCAAAAGGATGGCTCCTTGTAATGAAGAAAGTAGTTTCATCACATATTTGATATTGTTAATTGCTAAGTGAATTTATCATATATTTATCTAGATGGGCCGTATAAGAGTGAATGTAGATATAACTTACTCATTTTTCTAGTCAATATCAACGTTAGATTGTAACTAATAGTGGTTAGGTCTGTCTTGAGTTGATTCCAACAGTACTTGTGATTTCTTGGGTTCGAAAGCTTAGGTTCTAACATTTTATGATATATTGTTTCAAAACGATGGTTACTCTGTTGATTGCTGAGTGGGTTTATCGTATTTGTAATACCTGTTAGCTATCCATCTTGTGTGTTAGGGAATCAATACATCATATCTTATGGTAGTGTCATGTTGTATTGTTGTTCACTTTGTGAATCTAAGAATAATCAAGTACATTCTACAAATCTTGTAGAAAGAAGCTAATTGGTCAGTCTATTGGTTGATTCTGATTGGTCAGACAATTTTATTATAAGGTCTATTCTGATTTTTCTTTGCTTTGTTTTCTTTACTATTAAGGTCTTCCTAACATAAAATGTCTTGCACTGTCTGAGATATTTATAATATATATTTCATCATTTTATGATATAGGTATAGGTATTTTGATTCTCAAACAAGAATTTATAAAGTAAGATGAGGACATTTATAATAATCATCCAAAATATTAGGTATTTTTTCAAGTTTTTAAGTGATATAGTAAAAAATTATTGGGAAAAACATTATATTACAAATGCTAGAATTTGGAATACATATGCTGAAGTATCCTATAAGTATTGTATTGGATACGTATTGGATATGGATTTGTTTACTTTTTGAAGCATCCGTGCTTCATAGACTCTCTATGCATTCTCTTAGAACTGTCCTTATTGGTCGGTTTTTTCTTTTTCAATTTCTATTAATTTTTTTGACTGACTCTTTATTGCATATAATGGGGGTTTTAAATTAGTAAATTCAACTTTAACTGCATTTCCTTTCTTTCATGCTTCGCAACTCGCGCGCTTTGATTTCTCTTTTGAATTCATTTTCCTTCATCTGATGAAGAGATAGATTGCTTCTATTTGGTAAAATATATAATGTGTGTATCCTGTCTATTTGGTAAAATATATAATGTGATTTTGAGGATTGAATCACTAAATTTCTTGCCTATTTCTCATGGTAAGTAGTTGCGGATGAGTGACTTTTTTATTTTGGTTATAGGTATTCAATCACAAAGGCTTTCTGCATAGCATGTCATGACCTTCTCTTCCATTTTGATGTTCCTGTCTTTTGGCCTATGTTACTCTGTTACTGGATGGTTCTCTTTGCCCTCACAAAATATTAGATTTCTACTTCTGGATTTATACAAAATATTCAGGGGAAAGAATGATGAACTGTGTGTTTTTGGAAGACTTGCTGCTGGAGCTTTCGCAGGCATGACATCCACTTTTGTAAGTAACTTATTGTAAAGGACTTAGTTGTTGTGGGTTTGACAAGCATATTATCATGTTATTGCACTTTATTCCAGCATTATAGTGTATTCTACATGCAGTAAGAAATAAATGACCATGACTGTCTTTGAGAAATGAGATGAGTAAGTGAACCATGTTCATTCTTATTACTTGCTTTAAATATGAGGTAACACTTTAATTAATTTCATACCGCAATGTCCTTGATTATAACTGTGCTTCTTGGTCTTTGTTCAAACACTTATTTTCTTTGTTTAATTATGCTTGCAGGATAAAAGTAAAACTTAAATAGAGTTGTTTGGTCTTAAGTATAAACTCATACTTAACCATTTAGTGATTTTGGTGTAAGGCAGTTCCACTTGATCTGTAAATGCAGAAGTTACTGCGAAAAGTTCAGATTTTTCATCTTTTGGCTTCAGAAACAATAATAGGAAGAGAAAATTGTAGAAAACACACCAGAACATGCTTCCATTTTCAGTTTCATATAAAGTGGAATCATTAGCTTCTTGCCGTTACTGTTTATTCAACAATTGTAATTAATTCACTGAAGTGACAGAACAAGAGGTCACGTCCTCTCAAAGTTCAAACTCTTGAATTTAAATCACTTCTTTGTCATTTCGAGTTAGAATCATCATTAAATAGAACCTATTGCTAAAACCTATTGTTCAAATTCTTTTAATGATAGGGTATCTCGCAGGGCATATTCAGTGCTGGAAGTGGAAATTCGTCAAAAACGATAGTGGCCAATGGCAGAGCTGGTAAAAAACCCAAGGGTATGGAGAAAGCACAAGCTGAGATGAGAAAAGTATATGAAGGAAAATGTTATGCTTTAGTTTAGATCGTAAATGCTTTTGTTTAGGCCTGGTCTCAAAATTTGTGTGAATTTCTTTTGATATATATTTAAATGGTTTTTATTTTTTTATTTTGAATATCTCGTGTTTCTCATTGTAAATGTTTCATTTTTTTTATATTTGGCCAAGCTGACGAGCTGATTATGGTAATTTTTATCTGTATAACTTTATTGGGCAACAGATTCGCCATCTTGTACCCTTTGGGGAGAAAAAGTAGGGAAATGGTTAAATGGAAAATTTCAAGCATGTTGAATATGCTTCTGTCTGGACTTTTTAACATGCATAGGTTGCAATAGCTTGGATGTATTTTTAATAGCTTTACCTGTGACCTCTTTAGCTGTTTCAAGATGATGATACTTTTCTTTTCACTCAAAAAATAAAATTCTTCATTTTTGAAGAATGTTAATCTTATACATGCTTAAAAAAATGTATCATATCATCAAGCATTGGAAATATTTTCTTTAAACTTATTGCATTCTTTCCCCTTTTTAATCGTTCTTTTTGCTGACTTTTTTTTTTATAAATTTTAAAGCTTTTTTTTATTATAAGCATATTTTTAATCTTCACTCTTCCTATTATTTATTTTGAATTTTTTAACTTAAATTTGTCTTCAAAAATTGCTTCATGCTTTAAATTTTTCCTGATATCTTTCCTAATTTTAAACTGAAGTCATCTTTTACATTCTTTACATTTTTTTAATCCATTTTTTTAATTTCATTTTAAATTTGCTTTTTGAAAATATAAGGCCATCTTCTAATCTTTGCACTTGCTTTTATCGTTGTATAATGAAAATAATTTAAATTATTTAATTAAATATTTTTTAAGCTTATATATTTATAATTATTTTTTAACATTTAGATGTGGGTTTTCTTCTTTGTGCTAGTATTCTTTTTACTGCAGTTTTTTTCTCCTTGTTTTTCATTTTCTTGATTCTTTTTGTTTGGACTTGTATTTTTTTTAAAAAAAATAATTTCAAAAGTTTTAGGTCTATTTAATTTTGTTCTCTCTCTTTTTGTTTTTTTAAATTTCTTGTTTTTTTTTCAATCTTTCATTCTTTCAATGTTTTTCTTTTCTTTCTCCCTATATTTTATTTTTTTGGATCCTCAATTAAATAATTCATGATATTATGTTAGATTTATTATATTAAGTGTATTGTGTACTTAGAGATAATATACTTCATTGAAATAGTTTAAGTCATTTGGTTAGATATTAAAAAGCTTATATATTTATGATTTATTTTTTAATTTTTAAATGTAGGATTTCTTTTATGTTTTATTAAATTTAGGGTAAAGGTTAATTTTGTCTTGATATTTATTTTTTAGGAGCATTGGGCACCTTACATTTTTAAATGGTACAATTGTTCTCTTGAAGTATTTTTTTGAGGTCCAAAAATACCTTTCCTATTAGGAGGCTGTCAAGTTTTCTATTTTCTTTTGATGTGAATGTACATGGTGTTCACACACAATAAGTAAGACTTTGATCATTTTTTTGTGTGCTAATTTATTTATTTTTTTTTTCAAGAGCGTTGGGCATCTTAAATCACCAAAGCATTGAATACTTTAAAATCTTGTTAAGATAAAATTTAATAAATATTATTAAAATATTAAATATTTTTGTATTTAATAATGTAAATATTATTATTTATAAATATTCATTCAAAATTTATAAATTACTTTTTAAATATAACAACTCAAACCAACATTTTTTTAAATTTATAAATTTTTTTTATTTTTCATATATCGATCTTTAATTTTCTTTTCAAGATAATGCCCAAGTTGTTATGTCTTTTATGCATGTTAGAACTTAATTATATTTTTAATATTAGTTAAGTTTCTTAAACTTCACAATGTATAGAGAGTGTTAAATTTGGATAGTGTAATATTTTGAAGGAAGACTATTAGCTGACAAAACAAATTACAGAAATATGACAAATCAAGACCAACAATATGCAAACAATTATTTGAAAGATATCATTTATTTCATTAATGTGCTACAAAAAAAGTTACTTAACAAGAGAAAAATTAAAAGATGAAAAGAAAAAATCACTTCATTAATTTGGAGCTTCATTCCCTTCATCTTTAATACAAAATTTTAAAGTATAAAAAATTAAAATATTAAATTAAGTGGTGTAATGTTTTAAATAATAATATTTAAATTATTGAATATTAAAATACTTAATATTTGAACAATATTTATTAAATTTTATTTTAATAGGACTTTAGGGTGTTTAGTGCTCTTAGAAAAAGACTTTACGATGCTTAGCACTCTTAAAAAATGAGTTCAGAAAAAAATTAGCACCAAAAGACATGATTAAAGTCTTACATGTCACTGTGTGTGAGCCCTATGCATGTGCCACGTCAACAAAAAACAAAAAACTTAACGGCCTCCTAACAGAAGGGTGTTTTTGGGCCTCAAAAAAATAGTTCAAGAGTAAAATTACTCCATTTAAGAGTATAAGATGTCCAGCGCTCCTAAAAAATAAATAAATGGGCAAAATTGGACCTTAACTCTTAAATTTAATATATCTTAATATATTTAAAATATTCAAATGTTCACAAATATTCAAATATACTCCAAATCAAATTGGAAGATCATATTTTTCATTTTTTTATATGTTTTTTTGGAAAGATTATCTTTGTCATTGTTTATGTCTTGGATTGGAACAAATTAGTATAATTCATCCATGTCTACAAATCAGTTGACATTTTTCACAAATTTTACAAATGAAGGCCCTTATTATCATATTTGTTATTCCTTAACTGAAGTCTGAATTTATTTATTGAAAGAGAATAGTGTTTTCTTGAAATTTTTAACTTCTAATTATATCCCATTTAAAAAAAAAGAATGTTGAAGTTGAAAAATTGTATAATCATTCAAATTTTTGTTTTGAAGTCTATAACTCACTACTTGAATCAAAATGATTTACTTCTATTTTTTACTTTATCTCTTGATATTATACATATAAAGCTATGTTGAATTCTTCTAGAAACACGACCACCTAGAATCTATATTTTCAGTATCTAGAATTTTATTTTCATTAAAGGAACTAACCTGGAACATACTATTGGAAAGTGATTCAGTAATTAAACCCTCCTATTTTTTTTTCTATTGCAATTAAAACCCCTTTCCCATATTAACTAATATATGTAGAGTGGAGTGATATTAAAAACCCCCTTTTTCTCTCTCTTTTTGCATAAAAATGTATGTAAATTTCTCATAAAATTTGAATATTCGAAAGATTATCATATATAACATAAAATTTGTTCACTGATTCTTTCTAATCGAGCCTCTCGATCTATCATTATGCTTTGGGAAGTAGAAAGAATTACAATCCCCATCCCTCCTAAAATTCTAGGAATTCATTGACAATTAGAATATATTTGAAGACAGGGTTACTAATTCTTTTTAAATTCAAAATAGTTTTATATGACCCTTTCCTATTTCTTCTATGCTATAGGGTTAAAATTAAAAAAATATTTTTTTTTTGCTTTCCCTATGTTTTCTCACATTTTCAATAAAACCTTCTAGGAAAAATATTGTAACAATGTTTTTGATGATGTTAGTAGATGGCATTTGAACTATCCCTTTTCTATATATGTCAACATTTCATATAGGGGTTATTATGTCAACAATGGTGTCCTTACCCATGATAAACTAAAATGATTGTTGCCCTTGACTTTTGATATAATCAACATGCTATTTTTATTAATTTAATTTAATTATTTGATTATAAATAATATTTAATTTATTATTTTTTAATTTAATTTATTATTTATTATTTATATTTATGAATTCTAATTGAAATTGAATATTGAAATATTTGGATTTAGAATTTTTTTTATAATAATTACAAAAGAAAAGGTATATGCGTGAGACAATCAATCTATTAGTCAATCTATTTTTTTCAAATTCTATAAATATATTATCTATATCTTAGTCTCATCTTATAATACTTCGAGTGCTAATGAAACTATTTTACTGAAATTTAATTGTCTCAACTCCCAAGCAATCGCACCAACAATTCAAGTTCCTTTTGGATTTACTTCTTGATCAATGACAACTGTAGTATTATCATCATATTGTATTACCATACCATTGTTACATACAATTATAGCTCTGATCATTTTTATCTTTCCAACAATGTGTTTGGTACTACTTCCTTGATTATAGCAACAATAACGTCACCAATATAGGCATATTGTCGATTACTAGCTCCTATGATTCAAATATGCATCAACTTGCAGGCCCCACTGTTACTGACTACATTCAAATGGATTTGAGGTTGAATAATATGATTGTTTTTCTTTGTTCTTTTAGTGCAAAGGGTGAGATAAAAAAAGGAAGAAATATTGTGTATAAAAAACCCACAATTGCAATTGTTTTTTTTTCCCATCCCAAAGACCTCTTTCCTTTGGTTCTAATTATTATATTGAAATAATAAATTGTGTTCGTGTAGTCATTTTGAGTGTTGCTATTGCAATGGCCTTGCTAGTTATATTTTTTGTGACTCTGCCCATTTCATAGAGTATTCTACCTGATTTAACAACAACTATCTAACATTTAGGAGATCCTTTTCTTGACTCCATCCGTGTTTCTATAGGTCTTATTGTAACTAGCTTGTTTGAAAATATGCATAGCCATATTTTTCCACCACGGCAAGCATTTTGTGGCGTTGCTCACCACACTGCTTCTATTTGTCTAGATGTAATCCAAGTAGATTCAAGTGCTTGAAGAGCATATCTACCAAAGCAAATATGATTATCTTGAGAGGATATTCCTTTCATTCTTCCTCTATGTTGTTTATAAAATCTAGTTTTTTTGGGGTTATAATTAATGGTTTTTTCTTCATTCCTTCTCTACTACAAAATCGTACATGAGACTTTCACCTCATATGGCTACTTGCAATGAAACGATTAAAATAGAATATAAATATACTTGAATTTCATGAATGCAATAATATATTGAATCATGGTGGGACTTTTTGAGATTTCATCTAATCTATTGATTTATTGATAATTTGTATATCTTGTTTTGATATATATAACTAAATAAGTATTCTTTTTACAAATATTATTTTTCCTATTATAAACAATTCTTGTTATCCAGATATAAATAGATAATGTAGTTTTCTTATGTTATAAGGTTCTAATGAATCTTTATTTGGTTTTTCCTTTTATTATCATATCGAATTGGCCCCTATTTAGAAATCCAATAAAATCAAAACTTTCGTGGGGCAAATATTTATT